GTACTGTGGTAAAATTAATTCTACCACATGGTAGAATGCCGTAATGCCGTAATTCAGTAATTCTACCACCAACTATAAGCACAACAAAATTACACGACACCAAAAATCAACAACACCAAAAAAGCAGGAGACAAAAAAAAGCAACAGCAACAAAAAAAAAAGCGACAACAAAAAAAAAATCGATGACATTATCATGCAGGTACAGTACACAACAAACATTTTATTGGCTAATTAATTGAGGGACTACGATAAAATTTTGAATCTCCGGGGTCTAGGAAAATTGCCTAAACCCGAGGTCTAGTTTAAGTTTTTCCAATTGCGATTTGCCCATCACTAGATCCATGAAGCTAGGGTCTTGACGAATATAAATATGAAAGCTCAATCTGTAATATATACTATTGTATTACATAATTAGCCAATCAGCGTTAATTTTGCAATAATCACATGTATTGTGATCGGAGTCAGATCCGCCAATATGGCTTGAGAACGCACTTAGTCAATTATCGCGCTTTTCAAATTACTGTGTCCGCTGATTTTCATACATCACACTGGGAATCAGAAATCTGGAAAAAATGCCAATACGTGATTGGCTAAAAATTATTTTTAACCAATCACAGATTTGCATTTATTCTAGATTTCTGATTTCTGGTGTGATGTATGAAAATCAGTGGACACAGTAATTTGAAAAGCGCAATAAATATAGATGTGGTAAAAATTATACGATAACTATAGCTAATTCAGTCCTCATAATGACCAGGACGGACGGACGGACTGGACTGATGCATCCCTACCTTTTGTGTCAAAGTCCGTAAGCAATAGAATATCAAGATTAATTTGGCAACAATTAGGTAATCCTATTGAATTTTACATGTGCCCTTTGTGGAGAATAGCTGTAAAGAAGCTAAGATATTTATTTATTTATTTAGCTCCTGACTCGAGTTTGAGATCGCCTTTGAACAAATACTACATATTATATAGAGTAAAAAATTTGCATTTTATTATTTTAGAAGATCTAAATTAGCTATTTCAAAATTTTTTATTCTTAATAGAGTAAGGTTTATTACATAATACGTTCATCAAGACCGTTACACTTAAAAATTGACTGTTAAATTACTTCGATTAAACAACTAACAACACCAGGGTGTATAATAGATTTTTCCTATCAAATGATTCTTAGCCAATGGAAAATCACAATTTAGTTTACCATAACACGATCAGGTGTAAGATGTAAACAACGGTTTCGAAGAAATTAGCCTTTATCTCAAAAATTCAACTAAGAAATCGTTCTTCGTATCCAAATCTTAACACTAACCTTTAAGTGCTACGATGAATTTTGTTGACCATCATGTAATTGGAAAATCTATCCTGCGTGCTGGATTCTTCTAGCGACTAGTTATTTTTTCATAAACACTATAAAAAATGGAAAGGATAACATTTAAATTTAGAAATCCGCAATAACGTGAAAAATTATACTAATAATTTATTCATTCTATTATAACAGAATAAATTTAATTAGGGATTGGACCGGGTAGAAATTGTTACTATACGTTACCCGAAATATATAAAACTTACCGGGTAATTTAATAGGGATTTTCTCAACGGGTCCAATCTCTGAGATTAGTAAATTATAGTTACAACATACTCTCATGATATTGATGCGATCCGTTCCATTAATAAAAATTCACTATATCGAGAGAATCTTATATAGACTGGCTTTGAGTTTAACTTGACTATAAAAAGAGTGAGTTACACTCTAATTGGTTAGATTTTTTTATATTTATTTGATATTATATTTTCTACATATATACCCATATTTGCTTTTACATATTTCAACTTAATATAATTTTAAGTCTGGCCAAAAGATATGCCTAAACACAGTAGCTAGGACAAGTTTAATAGCTAAAAACTAAATACAGTATCTTGTTTTGCTAACAGAAAGTCTATACAGTAGTTGCTATCTACATTAAACAATTCAAAAATTTTATACAGTTAGATTGGTTACAAATGTATTCTAGTATAATTATGATTGTTATTATTATTATCACCTATTATTTTAAATTTTAAAAAATTCAATATACAGTATTAATTACTTCAAAGAAAGACTATAATGATCTTATTTTTCGACTATAACTAAACCAATAAAATTTATCAGTTTATTCGATTAGTCAATTTTAATTGATTTTGGTTCGGAATATTGTCTCATATTCTAGGTTCGTTCATTTTTTACATCTGAAATTTTAGAAATATTATAGTCCTAGTTTTAGTCTTAACAGGACCCCGAATAATATTTATAAAGGTTACATTGGCTTTAATATAAAATTTTATCACTTTATTTTAAAGTTAATGCGCCATATTTTACATATATATTAATTTATTTTTAGCCAAATTTTAAATATATCCTCTTTTTAAAAAAATTTTTTCTTTTTTTTCAAAAAAATCTTTTTAGCCAAAACCACAATGTAACCTCTATACGCATTATTCTGGGTACTGCCTTAACGAGTGATGAACCTCTACATGCTTATTCTGGGTCCTGCCTTAACTAGTGATGTGACCCAAACGATTTGGGACGTTCCAAATCATGTGATAATTAGTATCACAGTATCGGTACTAAAAAAAATTCTATATAATTATCACATGATTTGGGATGTCCCAAATAGTTTTGCTATAGTCCTAACAAATTCGATTAACAGATTTTGGCCGATTCAAAAAAATAGACTGGTTAAGCCTAGAGATTGGACCCGTTGAGAAAATCTCGACTCGGGCATTATTAAATCACCCGGGTTATCCGGGTAAGTTACTATATATTTCGGGTAATCGTATAGTAACAATTTATACCCGGGTCCAATCCCTAGTTAAGCCGATTATTTTTACTATCGGTCAGGGTCACTATCATTAAAGATTAGAGATGTACGTACGTACGTATGTACGTACCTCGCAAAAGATGATATCATCATCTTCGCGCAAATTGCATCATATGACCCCATATCCCGCGCGAAGTAAATTTTTAAGAAAATCCTAGCGGTTAGTGATTTATGTATTAAATATTAAAAAAGATTAGAGTTATCACCAAAATCTATAATCTGATGAAATCAAGCTTTGGCCTTTGATAAAGCCATATGAATTGTGGAATATATGCTAGTTTACAATGTATTGCGTATAAGAAATTGAGTGTTTTTTTTTAATAATATTACAACTCTAATATTCGGATCACTATATCAAAACCGTATGTGTACAAGGGGAAACGAAGTTTCACTAATACCCAACGGCTCGGATTTCGCAATTTAAATACATATATGTTGCATCTGAAGTAACTACCTATCTCTAAATTAGATCTTATAGTCTCATGAGAACCTCAACCAGAATATACAAATATTTTTGCATTAGAATTGGTCTTTAATTTTGATCTCTACCTGCTGACTAAATCTTTATAAGCCGTTAGACATCAAATCTGTCAAAAAACGTTGTAACTTCGAGTTGCTAGCATTGAAAGTTGCAGATTAGTTTATCGTTATACTCTATCTAGCATTAGCGTTAGTAAGACACGAACAGGTGCACCAATCAAATTTCTCCAAACGATAGACGCCAATCAGATCACTAGATCTGGTGTAACGTGAAAATCACGCTTTTAAAAAAAAACCGCCGATAACACGAAATTTTAACTATGAAACCACTTTCTGCGATTTAATAAAAAAAATTTCTTGTAAAATTTTGGTATAGGCTGTACCATATTATAATTCCATCCTAACTGTGTCATGAGGTTTTAGTACTTTAATGGCATCGTACATATTAAATATTTTAATTTTTCAAAAAGATTTGATTGGTGCATATTGGTCAAATCTTTCATTGTCATTTCTGAATGAGCAAATAAGATTATCAGTCATACGTAAATATTTGATCGTCACACCTAAAATTCCATAAATTAAAGCTTATCGTTATCCTATTTTTTTAAGTTTAACTGTCACATAAACTCTATAAGAACTTTTTGGTGCTAGTGTGCACAAAGATTTTTTTTTTGCTATTGTACTATTTGCAGGAATTTTTTTTTTTTCACTAAATAAAGATCGGGAAGCATTTTCCCGCAATTTATGTATAAAATTTAGCTATTGGTATACGGAACATCATTTGACTGATACTCAATTTTTTTGCATGTGACAAATCATAACTGATATTAAATAACTGATTAATAAAATTTTATAATTCTGATTCAAAATGTCTTTTGACGGAGAATTGGCAACCTTACGACGACAAGTGGAAAAATTTCAAAACCTTAATGCTTCAGTAAGTTTTTTTTTTTTTATTATGTCGCTTTATGTTAATGTGAAGCTTGAATAAGCCGGCAAATCCGGTTTTTTTTTTTTTTTTTTTTTTGAAAAATTAATAAACAAAGACCGGAGTATACAAAAACCGGAGCATTTATAAAAATTTCTTGTCAAACTTCTTGATATATACCGGTTATAAAATGTATAGAATTTCGGCTTATTTGAGATTCGTACTTAATGTGATAAATGATAATATTGAAAATTCTTAATATATATGTACCCCTTAAAATAGGCTCGTGAACAACTTGAACGCGTCAGCAAAGAAAACTCTACATTAACGGATGATAATAATTTTCTCCGCAAAAAGAATTATTCTCTTCAACAAGAAATTGCAAATCATCACAATGAATACGCACGAATTGAATCTGAACTTTATCAGCAAGGACAGGAAGTGGAAGGACTAAAAAAAAAAAATGATGACGTTTTGAAAAACACGCAAGAAATAGAACAAAACTTGAGGAAAGAGGTATGAATTTTATAAAATTATTAATATAATTTAATTAAATAAATAATATAAGACAGATATATAATGATAAATGTTAAATTAATAATCATATTTCAGACTCAAGCTTTTGAAAAAGATCAAGCTGAATGGCAAATGCGTGAATCAGAATTAGTTGGTCAAATTAAATCTCTCCAAGAAACCCTTAATGCTCTTTCGCAACAAAATGAATTTTCAAAAAGGAAAAGCGGAAACACAAGTTCTAATGATGGTATAATTCAATTTATTTACTTTATAATTTTTACAAAATAATTTTGGTCATTTAACAGCAATGATGAGGTTTTTCATAATTCTCACGGGGTCAACCATCTTTTTTACTATCGATGGTATATAGAAGACAGTCCTCCTCCATCACCTTCATCACCTACATCACCTACAGTTGGATCTCCGACTTCGTATCATACCGCTGTCCGTGAAGTCAAGATTGCTAAAAGAACAATTAAAGAACTTGAAAGACGTGTTAATGATCTGGTGACTGAAATGGGAAACGTTGACAGTTTACATACCAATTCAATGGCTACAAACAAAAACCATATCGCCAAGATTCATCATTTAGAAAATGAGCTTGATCAAGTTAAGCACATGAATCAGACATTAATGGAAGACAGTGAAAGGTATCAATTACTGTTACATGAAAAGACCATGAGGGGTGAATTTGTGCTAACTCATGTCATGCAGGTATATTCATATTTTCTTGATCATATTTTCTATCACGTGTAACTATTAAATTAATTAATATATATTACTATTTCTTCAAAGAGAAATACAAAATATAGTTGCATTGCAGGAAAAAAGACAAATCTCACAAACCAAAATAGTAAATCAACTCAAGACAATGCATCCGCCAACACAAAATTCATTTCTGTAGATTTGGAAGCCGAATTACATCGTGCTATGAATGAAGTGAATGACGGGAATGACCACACAATTATTGAAAGTTCGTACTTGATTTCATTTTTATTTCAAATTTTAAAGCATGATCTCAATATATTTATTTTATCAACTTTATAGAATTACAAGATGAAATAAAATTGCTCAAAGATTCCAACAAGTCATTGTCCCTTTATATTCAAAAGATTCTCAATCGTATCATGGAAGCTAAAGGTTTTGAAGAAATTTTAGCCAAGGACTGGTCAGCAAAACAAGAAACTCCACTTACTTTACCAAAAAGTTCTTTAAGTCAGGAACCTGTAAAAAAGAAACCGGAAAGACGAAAAACCTTTAGTTTTGCTTTAGGGCGTACAACATAGTTATCATTATTACCTGACTCAAAATAACAATGCGATGCGAAGCTTTTATTATGTACTATATGCATTTTTTTTTTTCATTCAAAAGCAAACATTTGTATTAATATAACGGTAAGCTATTAATGTTATTTATTTTTTATCTTTATTTTTATTTAATGCTAGTAATACTGGCAATTTATTTATCTTGTAAATAGTTAAATTATAAATAAAATGTTATTTTTGATATTTTTCCATTTGTCACGTCTAACAAGTAGCGTAAACTTATAGTGGCTCCCAAAAGAATGCATTTCCTAAATACAAAATTTTGTGCTTATATATTTCCCAATATTAAATTATTTGGAACAAAATTTTCTTATTTAACTAAATAATATCAATGCGAAATTTTATTTAAATTTCACCTATGCATTGTTTCGAGAGCCCTAATAAAATCTAATAATGATTTAAACTTTAAAAAGTATACTACAAGGAATCTGATAATTTCAGTTTAAATATACTTGATTATTACGTGGGATTTTAGAATTTAGAATACGAGCAGTGATGTAAATTGGATTCGCGCGGTAGGCGCAGCATTAAATTTGCGCATATATCAGCGCTCTCCGTATAAAGCGCGTATAAATTTCTTTTTTTTTTGAATATGTTTTTTGCGTTTGCGCCAATAAAAATTTTTGAATTTATAACACTGAATACGAGTATCAAAATCGTATTCCTGAATTAAGCTTAATTTAGGCCGAGATTCGAAATTACACCCTGGACGTGATTTTAAACAATATGGGTATGCATTTACACTTTTATTAAAACGCGCCTAGGTGTTTTACACCTATACATATATTATCTCAAAATTGGTGCGTAGTGTTCTAAATAAACTCTATATTACTCAAAAACTTACAATAGTTAAAATTTTGTAAGGTAAATGTGTTAAGATGACGGATTGAACGTATTACAAGGAAATAGGATGTTCTTTACAAACAAATTGAATTTATCCACCAAGTTGTTTTTACTTCTCTCGAATTTTGGCGCAATAACATTTTATTAATAGATTTTTTCTTTATATGTTTTGGCGTAGAAAATTAATTTGTTGCGCCAAAAATGTATAATGAAAAACCCATTAATAAAAGGCTGTTAATATTTTATAAAATTTCGAAGGTAAGTAAAAATTGTTATTTTAAACAAGGTTACTTAGTGAATAAGGAACGATTTACTTAGCAAAAATTCAGGTTTGTATTATAAAACAGTTATTACCGTATAGTTCCGAAATTAAGCACCCTTTTTTTGTTATAGAGGGTGCTTAATTTCGGATAACTTTGATGTAATTTATCGTTATATAAATAAATATAAAAGACAAAATATCGTTGTCGCCACGAAACAAACATATAGAAATAATGTATATGAAAAAGGAAAGCTAAGCTAATTCATATTCTATCGAACATAAAAAAACAAGTTGTCGCCTATGCTAAAGAAAATGAGAGGAATAAAGCCGTGGAAGCCTTTAAGCTTGATCCTAGTATGGTTGGTCGTTGGATTAAAGCAAGTAGGCTATAGGGCTGAGATAAAACAAAGCACCAAGTGAGTCAGCTCTGGTTGAAAAGAATTATACCCTAGGGTAGGAAAAAAACTATACGATTGGATTATAGAACAGAGAAAAAAGGATTGGTGTTACGAAATCACACGCATTAAGATGCATAATATTTTAAAGGAACCTGATATGCTAACTCTTTATGGCAAATTAACGAACAATTTAATATATTAAAACCTATTAATGCAGAATCAGAGTGGCAAAATTAATATAAAACGCGGAGATGCTTATTTTTGGAGATGATACAAAATGTTGGTGGTGCTTAATTTCGGAACGCGTAAAAAGAACGTATATTGTTGTAATTTTCTAATATCATAGCAGATAAATAAAACAATCGTTTTTTTTAGTTAATGGAAGGAGAGTTAAGACTTGTATTAAATAAATTTTAAAGAGATAAAACTTCGCTATTTTATCCGCATTTACCTTACATTGTATAAAATTTCAAAACTTAGATAAAAATATAAAAAATATTAATACGTAATACGTAAATGCAAATATATACTATAGATATGTTTTTATCATGAATGCTGTAAGTATTTTTAGTTAATACGTACGTACGTACGTATAATTATAGCTGATAGTTTAACTAAAAATAGTACGTACGCACGCATTAGAGTTCTTACCCGGGTTAGAAAATACCGACCCGGGACGGGTCAGGTATTAACGCGGGTTATAACCCGGGTCAACGGGTCATACAGAAATTAATAAAGTTTTGAAAGTTAATCCTTAAAAGTTGATGTAACGACTCTTAATTAGAACGATTAGCATGAAGAGCAGACTGTACTCCAAATATTTAAACCGGAACTTTTCTGATTTTGTATTGAAAATTTCTCGACCTTGTGTTCAATTCTCGACTCGTAGTCAGTTACTATTTGCGTAGTAAATTGTGTCTTGTAGTAGGTTTTGAATTCTGATTCGGGTTAGAGCAATTTTCGACCCGTGACCAGTGCTGTAAATTGGATCCGCGCAGTACATAAATTTGCGCGCTCTTCATATGTATAAATTTCTTTTTTGTATATATTTTTTTTTTGCGTTTTCGCCAATAAAAATATTTTGATTTATAACACTGCCCGTGACCCGTTGGGTTGGGTGACCCGTACGGGTTAACCGACCCTGGTAATAGCTTTAGTACGCATATTTAAATTTATAGGCAATTTCTATTTGTACACCTACGTGACAGGCTTACCGAATAATTGATTTAGAGGCAATTAATTGCAATTTTTCGAACTCAATTGATTGATGGCTGGCCAATTAATTCAATTAATTGCAATTTTACATAATTAGAGGTCAATATTATTAATTACTAAGTTACAGTACAGTCGGGGATATTTCCATATTTAGTTCGTGTAACAGATTGCATTTTAGAATGCCGAAGATCAGTTCCAGAATGATCTATAAAATTTCTCGGATTTTTATTGGCCCATAGTCATACTTTTTTAACCGAAAGTTTTAAACCTTTTTTGATATCTATCAATAATTAAAAACTATATACACGAAAAGTAGAAGATACAAGGTTTTATAATCAATCAAAAATCAGTTATAATCAGTTTTTTTTGACAAAGTAAATGAGACTCGAAAAAAGGTAGTTTTAAGCCTATAACTCTTAGTTTATTGAATTTCTACGCTTTTATAACTACCCTTTTTTTATTATTGTATAATACCGTAATACATATGATAATATAATTTATTTTTTTTCTCTGCAGTATTATAAGTCTCTTTGTGCTTTGTACTTGTGAGTTTGGTTAAAAATCTGAAACTAAAATTGATTCTAAATCTAGGAACGTCCCATATCTACTAGTGATGCAGTAGAATCGTTTCACTAATTGCTGTAACTAGTTACAACATAAGCTTTAGTCAGTTACATCTTAAGTTGTAACATCTTGAAACGATTTTACTGCATCACTAATATCTACTTACAACAGCAGTGCTTAATAAGATAACTAACTATATGACATTAACATGCAAAACCAAGAACGAAAGGCAAATATAATTTACGGTTTTGAAATAAATTTTTGCACAATTTATTTATAAGATTTTTTAAGGAATTATACTGAGAAAGTGAATTGTATTATAATGGTTATCATGGTTTACATATTATTGTTTAGCATAATATAATGTTGCCAAGTCCAGTTCTTAATAAAACATTTACAAAATTCAATTTACTTTATGATCGTTTTCTGAACTATTTTTTTAATAATGGATTTCTAGTAGTATCGTTTTCTGGACTTTTTATTATACCTTAGTTTCTTTCTATCTATAACATATTGATTAGAGTATTCTTAAGTATTTCCTTCAATGGGTTTAACGAACAACTCAGCTATGGCCATATATTTTTTCTAGAGTTCTTTGATTGGTATAAAATCCATATTTCACATGCGAATCTAATTACAATTAGCATGTTTATGGTTATATTCAAACATGTACTGTAATTTACAAGTCATAAGATTTTTAAAGTTTATGAATTAGTTCAATAAACTATTAGATAAATTATTAAAGTGAAGTAAAGCGATAAATAAATAACTTACTTTAAAAAATCGAAATTATTTTCTTTAGAACTGGCCAAAATCTTGGGTGCAACATTGCTAGATGGTTCACGCGCTCTTATATAGTTATAATCAGCACTATCAACTTTTCGTATGCTATCCAACCAGGTTGCTTTGTATCCAAATCAACCTTCGCCAATTTTTATAATATTACTTAGTCTATCAAATGGAATCCATCTTCATATACACGGGCTCTAAGTTGGATTCTTTCATGCAATCATCAATACATTTATTTCCAATTGCTCACATTGTTGCTATGTCAGGCTGCACGATAGACACCACGCTTTATTGGTATTATTTATCTTCATTACAACGTCACACTTTTCATACATCAACAAATTCATTCATTTACTATCTTTGACTTTAGTGATTGTTTAATCAGTCCTTAGATAAAACAACAAATGCGTCATATTACTTATGAACTACTACATATAGAGAAACATTAACATATTAAATTACTACCTGATCAGATCTATATTTGCATTTCACACTTCGTATACACTTTCATATGTACGTACTTAAAAGAAACACCTTAGGCCACATTTCAAGAATAAAATAGCATATAAAATATTAGAATGCACTTTAAATTCTTTGAAATCAGGTTCTAAATGTCGACTTAATCTATTCCTAGTAAAACAAATGAAATAAATATTAATA